GAGTGTTTGAGGAGCAGGACATCCGTAGGGAGACCAAGGGGCTTATCTTTAAAGCTAACCCTGCTAGATGCCTGCGAAACGTGGACTGTCTACAGACGTCACATGCAACTCCTGGAACGTTTCCATCAGCATTGCCTTTGAAAAATCCTGCAAATTTCTTGGGAAGACAGGCGGACAAATGTCAGCATACTGGAAGAAGCAAAGACCACCAGCATTGAAACGATGGTCCTCCGCCATCAACTCCGCTGGACTGGCCATGTTGTCCAAATGCCCGACCACCATCTACCAAAGCTGTTGCTCTACTCTGAACACAAGAACGGAAAATGGAATGTTGGAGGACAGGAAAAGAGATTTAAAGATGGGCTCAAAGCCAACCTTAAAAATTGTGGCATTGACACCGAGAACTGGGAAGCCCTGGCCCTTGAGCGCTCCAGTTGGACATCAGCTGTGACCAGCAGTGCTGCAGAATTTGAAGAGGCACGAATGGAGGGCGAAAGAGAGAAACGTGCCAAGAAGAAGGTGCATCAAGCCAACCCTGACCACCAGCACTGTCTTCCACCTGGAAACCAATGCCCTCACTGCGGGAGAACATGAAAGTCAAGAATAGGGCTCCACAGTCACCTACGTACCCACCGCCAGTACACCGAACTTGGAGGAAAAATCTTACTTGGACAACGAGGGATCGCCTAAATAAGTAAGTAAGTAAGTAAGGAACTCCCTCCCCAGTGAGATTAGACCAGCCCCTTCTCTTCTGACCTTCAGGAAAAACGTATGATTTGAGAACACAGAAATGCTGGACCACTCTAACAATCTTCATGTCACACTACGGAGAGAAGCCATTGAAATCCACAAGCACGTGGACAATTTCAACACAAAGGAGAAAAAAACCCATGAAAATGAACAAAATTTGGCTACCAGTATTTAAAAGAAACTCTTAAATCAAGACAGTAAATAAAGAGCAACACTCAAAAAACAACAGAATTCCAAACAAGAAACAATCAGGGCCAGCTAACACTTCCCAACAAAGGATCCCCTCAGGAAGGAAGCAGCCAAGCTTTGAAGCTCCAAGGCTATTCAGTGCTTTCTTTTTTATGTAGGATCTATGTTTCTGCCAACAGACAAGAGTTCTTTCTCCCACCCTGGACATTCCACAGAGAGATGAACTTCACTGGCCTAGTTTCCAACAGACCTCACAACCTCTGAGGATGCCTGCCATAGATGCATACATGCGCAAATGCTTCTGGAATATGGCCACACAGCCCAGAAAACTTACAGCAAACAGATCCCCTGCACATTTTTTTCCTGGGCTTCTTAGGAATGTGTGTGAGCAATGTAATTTTGTTGCTACGCACTATGGGGAAAGAAAACCTTACTTTCTTAAGTTCAATCCTTAAGGCAGCAAATATTTATTTTCAGAAAAATCTAATCAGATAGAGACCGTGTGTCAGATTTGCTTGCTGAACTGTTGTTGCGTTTGTTGTCTACAGCAGATTTTAAACATTAAGTATACTGCTGCGATGGCCTTTGGGCGGCAGAGAAGCTTGTTAATACTTAAGTAATCAAACCATCCACAGAACATGAAGTAAAAGCAAACAAGCTCCATGGGAACAAAGACCCCCTTGGAAGAGAGCCACGTACGTACTCCTAGTTATTATAGAAGCAACGTTTCAGGGCTGGTCCTCCTCTTTGCAGAGCATCAGATTCTGAATGGAAGGGCTTGGAATGGCCGTTCCTCCTAAGATCTTCAGCCCGCCTTGCACTTCTGGGTACAGCAACATACTCCATCCCATCACTAGTCTCCTGAAGTTGCCAATCCTATCAGGTTTTGTTTAGTACCCTTAGTAACCACTTGTTCCAGTGGATACCAACATTAGTGGATGCACAAGTCTTATTGTATATAAGAGTCCCCTTCGGGGTGAGAAGGGCAGCATATAAATGTGGCAAATAAATAAATAAATAAATGTCAAAAATTTAATGTGCAGATTAAATTTTGCCCTTGAAGACAGCCCGGAAGCTTCAATTAGTCCAACGTGTGGCAGCCATGATTCTAACAGGAGCGGAATGCAGGGAGCATACAACCCCCCTGTTGCGCCAACTCCACTGGCTACTGATCTGCTACCGGGCTCAATTCAAAGTGCTGACGTTGGCCTTTAAAGCCCTAAACGGTTCCGGCCCAAGCTACCTATCTAACCACATCTCTGCCTATGAACCCACCAGGACTTTGAGATCTTCCGGGGAGGCCCTGCTCTCAATCCCGCCTGCTTCTCAAGCACGGCTGGCGGGGACGAGAGATAGGGCCTTCTCGGTGGTGGCTCCTCAGCTGTGGAACGCCCTTCCTACGGACATTAGACTAGCACCATCTCTAATGGTATTCCGCAAAAAAGTGAAGACCTGGCTGTTTGTGCAGGCGTTCGAAAAATTAGTGCAATGATTGGTAATGAACCCAGGAATGGAACAATGGATGACGAATCTGGATTATGGTTTTGATGATGAGACGATAGTGATTGGTTACTGTAGTAATTGTCTAATTTATGTAATGTGTTAAGTTGTTAAATGTTTTTATACTGTTGCATTGAATTTTTGCTGCTTTATCGGTTGTGAACCTCCGTGAGTCGCCTTTGGGCTGAGAACAGCGGTATATAAGTAAGGTAAATAAATAAAATAACTAAATAAATTATAAATATGATGTGTGGGAATGAATGGAAGAATGGAAGGAGGTATGGAGCTAATAATTTTGGAAACACCAGTAAAAGACCCAGGCCTGCAATGACTAAACTACCTGCTTGCTGGACTGTAATTCAAAGTTGCTAATGGAAATTCAAAGTAAACAGTGATAAGAACTGGACAGTGACAACAGAAATGTTTACAGTGTTAAGAAATAAGTCAACCTAAGATCAACACCAATCAAGAAGAATCAACATCTGGCCAGGAAACTGAGATGGAGCCAGGATGGAAGACATTTATCATTAATTTACAACTTTGGGCCTACATCAGCAGAATATTCCTATAAAAGACTCAATCTAATAATGCTCAAAGTGTGGCAGACCTGAGGAGTCTGTTCCATCTGTTATGCTCTACTCCAGTGGTTCTCAACCTGGGGTCCCCAGATGTTTTTGGCCTACAATTCACAGAAATCCTAACAGCTGGTAAACTGGCTGGGATTTCTGGGAGTTGTAGGCCAAAAACATCTGGGGACCCCAGGTTGAGAACCACTGCTCCACTCCACGGGACGGAGAGAGATAGTGTTTGCAAGGGAGCAGTCTGGTTGCTTTGGGGCTTCTTTCTCAAGGGAAGAGGAAGAAGAAGGGTGCTTTTGGAGCCTTGGATTTTGTGCAGGGAGTCAGGTTCTGCTGTATGGAAAACAGAGATCTGGTCCTTGGCATTGTGCTTAAAGAAGACGTTTTGGCATTTTAAAGTTATGGAAGTTTTGGAACTATATGTTGGTAGGCTGCAGGGAAGCAGGGTCTGGCCTAACAGGTGCTTCTCCAAAGCAGGAGAAAAGGATATGGCAATATTTTGGATGCATGTGGATGAATGTGTGTACATGTAGTGTGAATGTTGAGTGAAAATGGAATTCCCCCCTTGTATGTTAACCAATGTAATTGTAAATCCAATGTAGTTACATAGAATCTATATGTCCATTGTCATTCTTTGTCTAAATGTTTTTCTGTAATCTGATATACTCTTTCACACTGGAAATTGCAATAAAAAGAAACTATGCTTCAAAGTTACTGAAAAGTCATTCATCTATATATATAAAAATGCTCTGTGCGTAATGAGTACCTTAAAAACAAAAGAACCAATGAATGAAATCACACCAAATTTGGCAGCAAAACATCTCACAACACAAGGAGTGACCATCACTCAAAAAAGTATGATTTTATCATTTGGGAGTTGTTGCTGCTGGGATTTATAGTTCACCTACAATCAAAGAGCATTCTGAACTCCATCAATGATGGAATTGAACCAAACTTGGCACACAGAACTCCCATGACCAACAGAAAATACTGAAAGTGTTTGGTGGACATTGACCTTGAGTTTGGGAGTTGTAGTTCACTTACATCCAGAGAGCACTGTGGACTCAAACAATGATGGATCTGGACCAAATTTGGCACAAATATTCCATATGCCCAAATATGAACACAGACGGAGTTTGGGGGAAATAGACCTTGACATTTGGGAGTTGTAGTCACTGGGATTCACAGTTCACCTCCAATCAAAGAGCATCCTGAACCCCACGAATGACAGAATCGGGGCAAACTTCCCACACTGAACCCCCATGACCAACAGAAAATACTTAAGGCCATCCAATCCAATTCCCTTCATCAGGGCAAGAAAACGTAAGCAGAGTCCTGATAAAGAGCCATCCAGCTAGTTATACAGATAGATAGATACAGATAGATAGATAGATATGATTCACAATATAGTATCATAGATATAGATATAGTTTCATAGATTTGAAAGGGACCCCCCTAAAGAAGGACAATTCTATGTTGCATGTTCCAGAATAGGCAAACCAGACACTCTCCACATCAACACTGACAAAGAAAGAGGAAGAAATACTGTTTAGCCACAAGAATAAAGAAATTACATAGATTAGAAACCAACACTTTCTAATTATTTTCCAGATCAACATACTGGGCCACAGCAACGCCTGGCAGGCGACAGCTAGTCACATATACAATGGTGTTGTCAATTGGTGTTCCTTATATAAAATGGCAAAATCAAGCAGTTGAATTAATGCATAATTCTACTATTTATGGAACTATGAACAGATGGAGTCTTTGTGTTCCTTTGTTTGCCTCCTGATAACTTTTGGGCTGGCCCTCTAGTACCTCCACTCAACAGATTACAGAATTGGTGGCCTCTTCTTAATGAATCATGTCTTGTAATTTTGCATCGAGGAAGGCATAGCTATGGCTGGTGGAGTCCCACACAGCTCGGAGAAGCTTCAAAATAAGTGTTTTTACACTTGGTTTTCCAAGTCAGCATCACCGTACCTTGTAGAGGCCGTGGCTGCAGCCGCAGTAGGTGCTTTCCATGGTGTAGCTCCTCAGGACCCCCATTTCCCGCCACACTACCACCCGGGCCGTGGCGTCCCGAGACTTCTCCACCAGAAAGCTGCAGCTGCTCATGAGGAAGGCAGGAGCCACTTTGTCTAAAATCTTTGGCAGAGTCTGAAACACAGAAAGGGAAGCCATCACAGTCAGTCAAGTATTGCGTTGTTGATTCATCTTTTCTTTTTTTAAAAACCTGTAGTGTTCAAAAAGTTATACATATTCAAATTCAAATGGGCCGGCTTTAGCACAGCAGGTTAAACACCAGCTGTGATCAATCTTATCAGTCGAAAGGCTGCCAATTCAAAGCCGGGTCAGGGTGAGCTCCTGGCCTTTAGCCCAGTTTCCGCCTAGTGGTTCAAAAGCAAAATGTCGTCAGATACAGTGAAGACATCTGCCCTTGCGCTGTACTACTCTGCTGCTGAGTATGCATGCCCAGTGTGGAACACATCTCACCACACTAAAACAGTGGACGTGGCTCTTAATGAGACATGCCACATTATCATGGGGTGTCTGCGCCCTACACCACTGGAGAAAGTATACTGCTTAGCCGGCATTGCACCACCTGGCATCCGCCGGGAAGTAGCAGCCAATAGTGAAAGGACCAAGGGTATCAGCCAGCATGCCAACGACTTAAATCTAGACATAGTTTTCTAAGATCTACAGAGACACTCGCTGGAACACCTCAGCAAGCGAGAGTCCAAAAGTGGCAGGCTCAAACCCAGCACCTCAACCAATGGCTGATACCAAATGAGAGACTCCCCCCTGGGCACACAGAAGACTGGGCGACTTGGAAGGCACTGAACAGACAGCGCTCTGGCACCATGAGATGCAGAGCCAACCTTCAGAAATGGGGCCACAAAGTGGAATCCACAACATGCGAGTGTGGAGAAGAGCAAACCACAGACCACCTGCTGCAATGCAACCTGAGCCCTGCCACATGCACAATGGAGGACCTTCTTGCAACAACACCAGAAGCACTCCAAGTGGCCAGATACTGGTCAAAGGACATTTAACCAACTACCAAACTCACAAGTTGTGTATTTTTCTGTTTGTTTGCTTTGTTCTGTTAGACTGGTTGTTCTGACACAACAAACAAATAAATTTATTTATTTATTTATTTATTTATTTATTTACAGCTTTTCTATTCGGCCCTTCTCCTCACCCTGCAGGGGACTCAGGGCGGATTACAGTGTACACATATATGGCAAACATTCAATGCCAATTTTTGACATACAAACATATACAGACATACACAGAGGCTATTTAACTTTTTCTGGCCACCAGGGGAGCTGTATCGCTTTCATCGTCCATCTGCGACGCTGATGAAGCACTTCCGCATTCCCCGCATGCTTTTTGCTGGAGTACTTGCTGGAGTCTTTTTTATGGCCTCGTAAATTAGTTAATTTAGCCTCTCCACACTTTAAGGTGGTAGCTTATTTTCCTGCTTGACAGATGCAACTGTCTTTCGGGTTGCAAAGGTCGACAACAGGCTACACACAATTGGTTGGAAACCCACTCCAACCCGGGCTGGCTTCGAACTCATGACCTTTTAGTCAGAGTGATCTTAATGCAGCTGACACTCAGCCAGCTGCGCCACAATCCTGGTCATTTTGAGGGGGCATTTTGAGGCACCCAGGAGGAATACTGGCAGTTCAATCCAAAAGAAGGAAGTTACGATCTAGCTCTTCAGCAGGGAGATGGCACAACAGCACCCCCCATTGTAGAAATTGAGCACAACACCTTCCAAGATGCCGAAAGTATGGGGAAAGCTGATACACACACACCTCTTATTTATGTATAATTGTCTGTCTAGTTGTATATAAAACGGCACTGAATGTTTGCTGCATATGTATGTTCTGTGACTCACCCTTTGGGGTGAGAAGGGCGGAATATAAATACTGTAAATAATAGGCTTGGGCGGTTTCGTTCGTTAATTTCGTAATTCGTTATTAATTCGTATTTAAATTAGCTTACGATCCAATATTGAGCCATGCAGGAATAGTGTGAGGAGTAAATTAGATTCGAAACAATTTTTTCAATTTATTTCGTAATTATTTTGTAATTATTTCGTTAATTATTTCGTTATTATTTTGTTATTATTTTGGCATGTCTGGTGCAAGTTTTATAGTTGTTGTTTGCTTTATCACACCAACAGCCAACCACAGAGGGAGAGGGAAGCTTCAGAAGTTCCCCCTGTCCCATTTGGAGGTTTTTTTTAGCATGTTGCGCAATCGCGTCCGCCATTAATGAATCGATTCGTAATTTTACGAAATTTCGTAAATTTGAAAATTTTTAAAGGAAAATTTCGGAATTATTAAAAAAACGAAACGCAAGGGCCCCCTAAAAACAAAACGAGTTTAGAACCAAATTTTTCTGTGGTTACCCAAGCCTAGTAAATAACTTCACTTCACTTCACTTTATTTCTTAATTAGTCGCTCTCCACCAAGGTGCTCTGAGCGACTTACGATCTAAAATAACATTTCCACAATATAAAAACATTCAACATAAAAACATTCAATGGTGACTATTTGGCACTTCATAGGTTGGAGGAAATCACTTGAAAACTGCGTACAATTTCTGATGCACATGAAAAGAACATGGAAATTTATGGGGACACACTGGAAATTTGCAAACTTACTGGAAAAGTGATAAGAGGCTGTGCTTTAAAATGCAGCCATCGAAGAAAGTGAAAGAGACAGATTTATTCATTCGTATGTATCGTTCGCAGATAAACAGAGAAAGGGAATACTAACAGGACTTCAATACTGGATATCTTCACTTTCAGACAAATTGTAAGTGAAGATCCGTTGTCTCCTCCTAATATATCTCTTTTTTGTCTTTAATTAAAAAAAGAGAGGTGGGAGAAATGGCAGATTTTAGGCACTAAAGACTCTTCTGGAGAATTCAGGTATATATTCACCGGAAGGCCATTTCGCTCTCCCATGTTGCACACCTTCGTTTTTACCTGAGCAAATGACGCCACCTATAGCTATGAGAGTGAACCAAATCACTCTGTTATTAATTCCTTGGGTTTGCATTCTCCTTGGCCAAGAGATCCTGGTGCTTCGTGGTGTTTTCTCCCCATGAGAAAGGGAGAAAACACGCGGAGTTTCGGGGTGCGGTGTCACCTGTACGCAGATGATGTCCAACTCTGTCACTCCTTTCCACCTGCTACTACGGAGGCTGTTCCAAGTCCTGAACTGGTGCCTGGCCGCTGTGATGGTCTGGATGAGGGACAACAGATTGAAACTTAATCCAGACAAGACAGAGGTCCTCCTGGTCAGTCACAAGGCCGAACAGGGCATAGGGTTACAACCTGTGTTGGATGGGGTCCCACTCCCCCTGAAGACGCAGGTTTGCAGCCTGGGAGTGATCCTGGACTCATCGCTGAGCCTGGAACCCAGGTCTCGGCAGTGGTCAGGGGAGCTTTTGCACAACTAAAACTTGTGCGCCAGCTGCGCCCGTACCTTGGGAAGTCTGACTTGGCCACGGTGGTCCACGCTTTGGTTACATCCCGTTTAGACTACTGCAACGCTCTCTACGTGGGGTTGCCTCTGAAGACTGCCCGGAAGCTCCAACTAGTCCAACGTGCAGCAGCCAGGCTGCTAACAGGAGCGGGGTAAAGGGAGCATATGACTCCTCTGTTGCGCCAGCTCCACTGGCTGCCAATGAGCTTCCGAGCACAATTCAAAGTGCTGGTCTTAACCTATAAAGCCCTAAACGACTCCGGCCCAATTTACCTGTCCGAACGTATCCTCCCCTATGAGCCATCAAGATTACTAAGATCGTCTGGAGGGGCCCTGCTCTCGATCCCACCGGCCTCACAGGCGCGGCTGGTGGGGACGAGAGACAGGGCCTTCTCGGTGGTGGCCCCTCGACTCTGGAACTCCCTTCCACTGGAGATCAGAACTGCCCCTTCTATCTTAACAGGTGAAAATCTGGTTTTAGTTGACTCTGGAAACTGGCCTTGGAAGAATGAGTCAAGTTCTGTGATATGGGTGGATGTCAACGAACAATGATTTTATGATGACGACTGACCATTGTAATTGTTTGACTGTATTTTGCTTTTTAATGTTTTAGTAATTTGGAATACGATGTTTTTAATGATTGTTTGTAATATTGATGTTGGAAACCGGCCTGAGTCCCTCGATGGAGGTGAGAAGACCGGTATACAAAACTGCTAAATAATAAATAAATAAATAAATAAATAAATATGACATTGAGTTATGCAAGAGATTGCAGTTTGTGACTGAGGCAAAATATGTCCAGACCCAGAGGCCCAAGAACCATTTGACTGCCAGTTTGCCACTGGGCACAATTCAAAGTGGTGGCTTTAGCCCCGTGGTTCTCAACCTTCCTATTGCCACGACCCCTTAATAGAGTTCCTCATCTTGTGGTGACCCCCAACCATAACATCATTTTCATTGCTATTTCATCACTGTCATTTTGCTACTGATATCAATTGTAATGTAAACATCTGATGTATTTTCATTTACTGGACCAAATTTGGCACAAATACTCAATACACCCAAGTCTGAATACTGGTGGGGTTGGGGGGTAGGGGGATTTTGTCATTTGGGAGTTGTAGTTGCTGGGATTTATAGTCCACCTACAATCAAAGAGCATTCTGGACTCCCCCAATGATCAAATTGAACCAAACTTGGCACCCAGAACTCGCATGACCCTTTGTCCTAGTTCCAACAAACCTCACTACTTCTGAGGATGCTTGCCATAGATGCAGGCGAAATGTCAGGAGAGAATGCCTCTAGACCAGGGGTCCTCAAACTAAGGCCCAAAGTCATTTACCTGGCCCTCGCTCAGGGTCAACCTAAGTCTAAAACGACGTGAAAGCACACAACAACAACAACAACAATCCTATCTCATCAGGCAAAAGCAGGCCCACACTTCCCACTGAAATGCTAATAAATTTATATTTGTTAAATTTGTTCTTCATTTTAATTATTGTATTGTTTTAAGTGTCTTTTGCACTACAAATAAGATATGTGCAGTGTGCATAGGAATTCAATCATGGTTTTTTCAAATTATAATCTGGCCCTCCAACAGTTTGAGGGACTGTCACCTGGCCCTTTGTTTAAAAAGATTGAGGACCCCTGCTC